TTTCTTTGCTCTTTTATATCGAATTCTCCTGAAGAGGTTATTGGAATCTTGATTTCAATATTTTTTATTTTGTTTTTTCCAGCTTTATTTGTAAAATTAAAATTCTGAGTCGCTAGTTTATTTTCTATGGTATACTTCAAATAAATTTCATCAAGATGATTTTTATAAACATTTTTGATAATCAAAGGTATTACTTTTTCTGACAAACTAAACCTTCCCTCCCTGAAAAATAATTTTCCTATTGAGCCATCTATGTTTCATGTTAGACAGTCCTCAAAATACTTAATGCTAGGCAAATTGTCTTGAACATATCCGTAACCAACGATGTTCTCATCTCCTGAAGCACCATAAACTGGGATATCTCCTTTATGCTTTTCTATAAAACTCTTAGTAAATTTACTGTTATTCGCTCTAGTTTTTAAATCAAAAACTTCATCTATTGCGATCTCCTTAAAATTACTATCAAAATTATCAGGTGATTTTTCTATTACTAACTCATCAATTTTTTGTTTATACAACTTTACTTTATTTTTTAATTCTCTAATCTGTTTGTCTTTTTCAGCAATTTCTCTCTGTTTCTGCAAATCAAATTCTCCTTGCAAAGTAATAGGGACTTTAACTTTAACGTTTTTAATTATGTCTATTGTAATGCGCCTGTTCTTTCCACCTCCAACAGCATATTTTTTTAAATTTTCTGATAAATATGAATATACATAGTCTAGCAACAATCACTTGCTTTTGGGTATTAGCGCTCCGCAGTGGATGGTCATGCTAAATTTTCCCTTTCTAATAAAAACAGTTCCTGCATCTCCATCTGTTGCCCAAGTCAAACATTCGCAATCATAGTCATAACAATTAATATTTCCTATTATACCTTCATTAATTGTTTGAGAAGAATAAAGTGGATATTCACCGCGATTTTTTTGAACAAAATCATTGGTATATTTTGCCAATCCTTTTTTAATTTCAAAAATTTCTTTAAAAGAAGCAGTTTTTTTATTCTTTGCTTTTAACGATTTATTGACTTTTAGTATTTGTTGATAATTTACTATGTTTCCGTTTAAATAGTTGCTATTGCCATTATCTATTATTTCTACATCTGATAATAAAATTTCTTTAAAATTATTCGACATTGTTTGGTTTTTATTCTTTGCTAAACTCTTTTATTTGACTACTCAGAATCTTTAATTTATCCGACACATCATTAATAAGTTTGCTAAAAGTACTTAAGTTAACAACATTTTCCTTTTTAACAATTTCTAGGTAAATCAGTTCATTTTCAGTTCATCATCTATCAACTGTTCAATCTTCTATACTAGACTCAAACTTTTCAAAAGGCTGAATTTTACAACGTTTATCAGTATTTATTTCCCCAAATTTTTGCTTATTTCCTTTAAAAAAAGAGTAAAGTTCTGCTGCCTCATCCAAATCGTCCTTGTCAATATTGAAACGATAATTATCCAAACTTTCTCCTATGTGGCTCACTAGATAAGTAAAAACAAAATAAAAAATATTGAAATCAAGATTCCAATAACCTCTTCAGGAGAATTCGATATAAAAGAGCAAAGAAA